ATTTGTTTATTAAGCACATAGCTATACGCCCACCGCGGGTATCGAAAGCCTAATTTTAACGGTATAAGCCATCAGACTTACCTGGAGGGGGCGTATAACTGTTGTATAAAGTGTGTGTTTTTAAGATAGGCGAATGGTTGTAAATATTCAGCAGATTTTATAGAATATGCCCAATTTTTAACAGCAGTTACCAGTTTATTTATTTATTTTTCTCAGTTAAGGGTTGAATTTATCAATCTATGATATGTGACTGCTAGCGAATGATCGTGTGCGTGTTGGCTGGTAATTGTTTAGACATAATTTGTGTAGGTTATTACCTTCCTACTGTCATTCAGATATATTAAGAAGTTTAAACAACATTGTTTTGACATTTTACCATTTTAATTGGTGAGTAAATGTCAGTTTAATTTGTTTTTGAAATATTGTTATTTTTTGTGTTTGAATGTATAAAACCAGAGTTTAATTTCTTTCATGAAATACATTTATAACCGAACAATATTCTATTTGTTTATGAACGAAATGATCTAGATGTTATCTGTGGGCTTTTATGCTGAATTAAAAATATTTGTCTATATACGATTAAATCTACTTTGTTATTTTATTACTGTTCCCTGGTAGGTCAGTGGTAAGCTTATGGGCATACAGCGTTCAAATATGGGGTTGGATTCCCCGTCGTATGCGGAGTGCGGGTATCCCATTGTGTAGGATAACAACAATAACGAATTGTTTTATTACTTTATAGCACCGACTAGAAATGTGAGGAGTAAAAAATGAAACCATTAAATTAGAAATAAAATGATTCATAAACTTTTTTGTAAAATTAAAATGTACACTTTAAATTACCGTTATGCTAGTATTAATCTGCTTTATTTCAAATGTGTTGGTCACATTTTGGCGTTGTTATAAATTAGTGGGTAACTTAGTATTTGAGGAGTTCATGTAAGCAATGCCATTACTGACGGACGCTCTGTGTATTAACGTACTTTCTCGTAGAGCGAAAGGATTGGCGAGAATATTCAGTCCTGCAGTGACTATTCGAAGTGAATTGATTTAAAACAGCCTAGTAAGTTTTGTTAATTATATGTAAATTTACCTTATGTTCAGTCACGTAGATATTCATGCGAACGTATGATATGTGAAGATTTATTGTAAATGTTGACTTCAGTGAATAGAGAACTTATTTTCAAACATATGTGATCTCGTAACACTTGACAGTCACATACCATCACAAGTTTAGTATAATACATTACTACGTTTGACATTGCTACTGCAAGTGCCATTAGATAAGTTGGACAGTCTGACTCCGCCAACGACAGCGTTAGGTTATTTACTAATAGTAATACTATAATTTACTCGGAGTATTAACAGGTTAGGTTAGTCTTGCTGGTTTTTGAAAAAACAAACAAACACAAAAAAACCGTTGTGTTGGCTGAAAATATTTAGTTATAAAAAACATAGGTACGACCTTTTATACTCAGGAATTTTTATTTTATAACTTGACCAACTTTTCGGGTATAATAACTTATGTAAGTTAAGTTGTAAGTGTAAGATGTGGAGGATGTGTGCTTTATGTTTATGAGGTGACGGAGAGAATGTAATCGAGATTAACTTTTAAGAAAGCAGTGGTGTAGTACATTGTTAATCTTAAGATGTTGTTACTATGCTACTAATATTGCTAATACTACTGGATTGCCCAACGTTTACGTTCGTAAATTTAATTTCTACCGTTTAGAATAGAAGAGACAGAAATTTACTGTACTAACAATAATACAGTATGTAAGTCTTAAGCTTTAAAAGCTGTTTAAGAATTTTAACATCGCATTGCAACAAAAAATTGAAGAAAACTAGGTACGAAGCAAACGATATAGGGCCTATAATTTATAAAACAAAATATTTCTAAGAACCAGAGTATATCATTTTATTACATATATATATATCACATACATCAGCAATTAGAATTTATTATTTCAAGACTTAATTAAAATACAGTAATATTTTCAAAATGGAGATTGTAAAAGTTTTTATTAATTTTATAATTTTAACGTATTTTAATTAATCTCTCAAATGAAAAACCTGGAAGCTGATGAATGTGATAAGTGTAACAAAATGATGTTCATTAATTATTGGAAAAACTTAAATTTATGTGTTTTCTGTCTGTCTATATTGTTTACCTGGCTTATCTTGGAATATGTAAAAATCAGCTAAAAAAACTGCCATAGTATGATGAAATCAAAAACAAAAAAAAGATATCAAACGTTCTATTCCATTACCATTTAAAATCACCAGAGGAAGGGTGTCCCAACCGAAAACCATGATATTTTTTGTTTTGGAATATGTAAAGATATAAGTAATTATTAATAATGATAGTAATAGTTGAGCGTTTATGGGATATTTAAATGGGATTGTGTTTAATTTGGCATAATCTGCCATTACTGTGAAGTTTTTTGTTCCATGTAATCACATACAGTGTGTGAAAATTACCTAATTGTAAATTGTGGGAGATTCTTTTTCAAATGACATGATACATTTCCAAATGATAAAGTTAGGACTTTGTGGTCTGATTAGGGTAAGATTAACCTAGTTACTTTTTTTTTTACCACATTAAGTTGCTAGTATGCTAAATTGTCATTTTTCAGCTCTTTTTACCAAAATAGATGTTAATTTAAAAGCAAACTATGAGTGTGAGACATATTCTGTATAACAAAACTTTGTGTTTAAAGTGCACGCAGATTGTGACGGACAGTAACATTAGTGGAGCATATTGCTACAGATTTAATCCACAGTAAAAATAAATGATTGGTTACATATATGTTGTTTATACTTATAAAAATGTTATGTATTCAAAAGAAATATTGCCTGGGAAAGATATTTCCAATTGTGTTTTGAAGTTAGAATCATTATTTTATCTTCACTGCATCCATACTTTTGTGTGATGAAATATTAATTTAAGTCGGTGCGCCAAAACAAACTTGCATAGACATTTTGGATTTTTTGTTAATTTTAGCAAAACAGACTGCTTTATGTTCTTATTAGTTACAATTTTTCTTGTAAATAGTGAGATGTAAGATTAAACTATCTTTAAAATATGTACGTTGTTGTACGTTCAGCTGGAAATGTGTGTGTGTGTGTAGTGTTTTTAGTCACTGATTTGGCATAAGTATGTGCATTTGGGAAAGGGCAATACTATGATCAGAAAGTAATCAATCAAAAATGGGGGAAATGGAAGAAAGAAAGGTTAGTTTGAAAATGCAAACATCAAGAGTAAGAATTTTTAAAATACATTAAGAGAAAGCAAACTGTTAGGATGGGAGTAAGAACTTTGAGGGATAACAGTTTCAGAGAGCTTATCTTATCCTGTCCTGATGTGACAGCCTTTGCATCTCAAGTATCACACTAATACTCCTATGAACATTTTCCAACTATTCGATGTCCTTCTTAAGGTAAGGGGGTTGAGTCTGAGCATATATGATAGTGGTCTGTACTATTTGATATAGATCTTTATGTACTCTGGAGTGGGGGGAGGGGGTAGTTGAAAAGGAAATTTGTCTGATAGATTGATTAAAATATAATTAAATCAGTGAGCTGTGGCTTTTTCTGGTCAGGCAGATTATCTTGCATTGTGATTTGCTATAGCTGTTTTGGAACAGCTTAAAATGTGGAAAACTTGGACACGACTCTATTAATGGCAGTGTTACTTTTCTAATAAGATGATTTGCTTGTGGAATACTTTACCTTCAGGTCTGATAGAAGCTTTGATATTGAAAGAAATTTTAAGAGGAGATTGGATGAGTGTTTTAGAGATCGAGGTTTGATATAGGTTTTTGGTTGGTGATAGAAAATGAGACAAGTTAGATGGGCTAAATGATTTCTTGTTATTCCTTGAAAATTAAATTTAGCCAACAAAAATTTGAGAAAAAATATTGTTTACAGATGTACTTGAGTGTTATTTTATTATTAGCCAAAGATTTAAAAAAATTAGAGAAAAACAAAACTTGGAAGAGTTTAGAGTTGACAAAATGTGGCCAGCTGTTATTTGTCGAACTTAAAGTAATTCCTGTGTATGTGTGCGACTTTTAAGTGTTTGAGTTTAGAGTTGACAACATTTTTGGTTTGATGGTTTACTGATGTACTTGTAATGTTTCCTCATTTTTTTTTTGTTTTTTCTTATGAAATTTTTGTTCAAAGGTGAAATAAAATACACATTTATTTTGTAGTTGTATCTGCATTAATTACTAAATTATAGTAATTTTCTTACAGGTTTCAACTATGATTTCGTAACGAAGTCCTCTTGACTGAACCTGTGATCTAGGTTGGTTTTGCATCCAAGCAAGCATAGCCAAACTTCAAAAGCAGCGTTCTTTATTTATGTGCAATTGAAGATTGATATTTATTTTTATTGTGTGGGTACCTTGTCTTTGAAGGCCAAACTATGAAAATGGTGTTATCTCAGCGACAACGGGAAGAATTGTGAGTATAACTTGTAATTTTTTTATATGTTTGATATTATAGCTAGATAACCATTAGGAAATGATACTGTAAGAAGTAGCATAGAATGTTCATCAAAAAGTAAAGATGGAAGATGGAGGAAGCTCTGCCTGGGAGTGATTGTAAGAAACATAATCCATAAGGAGAGTTCATAATTCCCGTTATCACAGTGTTTAACTTGGTTTAAGAAATTTTGCAAGAAAGCTCTTAATAATAACCCAAAGATTTGCAGTGATGATGATTGGATGGAGAGAACTAATGGGCTGAGCAGACTTCACATTGAGAGGTTAGCATCTGAGGAATGTGAGCAACCTTTTGAGAGAGGGGAAAAAAGACCCAAAAATTTAGACAGCTAAACAGACTTCACATTGACAAGCTGGAATCTGAGCAACCCTAGAAAGAAAAATGACCCAAGAATTGAGAGATAGATGCAGGCAGGTAGCATTGTCAAATATGCACCAAAAACAGGCTTTAAACTTTTCCAATATTAACTGAATAGGCAAGGAGACAACGTTTATGGATTGAGATGGATCCTCCTCTGAATCAAGTTTCAGCATCATTGTGGAGGGACACTATTTCCAATGAAGCTGAATAGGTAACGAGACAACGTTTATGGGTTGAGATGGGACCTCCTCTGAATCAAGTTTCAGCGTCATTGTGGAGGGACACTATTTCCAATGAAGCTGCGATGCTGAAACTTGATTCAGAGGAGGTCCCATCTCAACCCATAAACGTTGTCTCGTTACCTATTTTGTGGAGGGACACTATTTCCAAGGATGTATTGTCATCCAAATGAAGCTGAATAGGTAACGAGACAACGTTTATGGGTTGAGATGGGACCTCCTCTGAATCAAGCTTCAGCGTCATTGTGGAGGGACACTATTTCCAAGGATGTATTGTCATCCAAATGAAGCTGAATAGGTAACGAGACAACGTTTATTGGTTGAGATGGGACCTCCTCTG